TATATATATATATATATATATATATATTTATATCTAAAAAACACTAAAATTATCAAGACCGCAACTGATAGATATTGTGTAAGAATGTTTGGATCAATTTATATTTACACATTATGACTCGTTTGATGGCATAATAATGTAAAATGTTATCATATAGTTTTGTGAAGGATACTGACATTGAGACAATAATTACTTTGTATTAGATAATGGATGTCAAAAGATTAATGTATATTGTAAATGATATACTAGATTCTTGCTCAGAATGCAAGTGTTTACTATTCATTATGTAACATAGTTCGTCGGCAGTGAGTTCTATTTCTGATCTCCTTTTCAGACTGCTATCTATACTATACGTGCTTTCTTGGCTAATATATCAGACCTTGATTTTGTTTATTATACAAATGAATAATACAGATATGCTATTATTCTACTTTAATGCAAAGCAAATTGACATATGACTAAAAACCATCAATTAAGTCTCAAGTTATTTTTAAATACTGCATCGCAATTGATAGTCACTGTCCTCATTATCAGCAAATCATTCTATTTTAAAATATTTTTGCAACGAACAACGGTTTTAAAATAACATTATAAAATATTACCAGTTATTTGCATGGAATACAAAATATATACAAACAAAATAGAGTTAGTTTATTATGTCTTTAATTAATAATGTTTCTTATCTTCTATGTATCTAGACAAGGATGCAAGCATTAACTCCTGGTCCAGGAGGAGGAGGAGGAATAGGAGAGGTGTTATATAGAATGATACGACAAGAAGGTGTATTAAGGCCAATTAGGGGTGTCAGTGCAGTGGTTGCTGGTGCAGGTCCCGCACATGCTTTATACTTTTCTTGCTACGAGTGTCTTAAAGAAAAGTTTAAGAGTACAAGATCTCAATTCAATCATCTTGTCTATGGGGCAGCTGGTTGCGTAGCAACAATTCTGCATGATGGTGTCATGAATCCAGCGGAAGGTTAGATATAAAAACATATTTGACACATGATACACGCTCTTATTGATAATGCATATCGTTGAACATATAGATATAATCTTACAATTTACGTACTTCAATCAATGTTAATTAATGAAGATATACAAATTTTTTATCTAATCATAACTTAAATATTACCAATTTTTTTTACTATTTTATATAACTACTGTATTATATAATATTTTATATAATTACTAAAAAATATATCGAGATTATCTTTGAAAATTAATTTTAGAAAACAGTAGATGTAGAAATTTATATATAATATTATCTTTTTACAGTGGTTAAACAACGATTGCAGATGTATAATTCCCCTTATAGGAATGTATTGAATTGTATACAACATGTATATCAGAAAGAAGGGATATTTGCATTCTACAGGAGTTACACAACTCAATTGGCTATGAATGTGCCTTTTCAGAGTATTCATTTTATCTCTTATGAATTCGTACAATCCATTACGAATCCAGAACACATTTATAATCCAATAGCACATATTGGATCGGGTGAGTTTAATTATCAATAATATTGAATTTCTGCTTTAAGTTTCTGATACTATTGAAAAAAAAATAATGTTATGTTGTAAAAACTATGCAAAAAAATCAAATTAATTTATTATTATTATTCAGAAGTATTAAATCTTGAATAAAATAAGCGTATTTTGATGCGAAAAAATGTAGTTGAATAAAATTTTAATCTTCATTTTTGTTTTTTTTTACTGAAACCAGGTGCAGCAGCAGGTGCAATTGCGGCTGCCGCGACGACCCCTCTGGATGTTTGCAAAACAGTGTTGAATACACAACAGGATGGTGTGCACGCTCAAGGCATGATAGATGCATTTAAGCAAGTCTACAGGTTTGGCGGAATACAGGGATACTTTCGTGGATTACGTGCACGTGTCTTATTTCAAGCACCAGCCACCGCTATCTGTTGGGTGATGTAAGTCAATTGATTTTATATTTTTATGATTATATCATACTCATCGTTTCTCTTTTTATTGTGTCGCATAACATGTTTCTGATTTACACGATAGATACGAGTCATTCAAGTATGTGTTGCGGGGCAAGCAAGATGATGAATATAGTGATTCCGAAGCCGACAATGGTATGACCGGAATTAATCAGAATCCGACGCTTGCATCAAGATCTAATAGCTTTCAGGGCGCAGGTCTGTACTTTAACAACCATGCCTCATCACCCGTGTTACTCAAAGTGACTACGAGTTAGGCATGTAAAAAATCCATACTATTGATTGTCCATTATGAAAAAGAATGAGAGAGAGAAAACTATTTCATTATCCAAGAAATTGTTTATGGAAGTAGCGGTATCTTTTTTTTGTATAAGAATATACCGACACAATGAATATTTGTTGATTCATTCATTATTTGAGCCGCATTTTTACATATTCTATGTCGCAATCGAAAAAAATCGATATTAAAGAAAGACAATAGCAAGCAAAGGTACGGATCTTGGATTTATTGAATATTAATATATAAACTTCTTCGATTATTGTTAACTTAGAACTACATCAAACAATGACTAATGTTATCTCTTTTTTTATTTTTTGATTTTTAATTATCGAATAAGAATCTTAAAAGATATTATTTCATTAAACTTTATATGTTATTGTACCTTGCTTTTAATACATGCTTTTAATATACTTTCTGTCATGTATGCGAAATGAGTACGGATGAACATACTATTGTTTTAGAATAATTGCAAAATAACTTCATTAATTAGCACCAAATTTGGAATCATGAAATAATTATTAATTCTGGTACACCGTTGGCTGCCGATGTATAAAATCTAAATAAAATGCTATTATCTATTGTACTGTTCATATGGAGTATTATTGGACATTAGCAAAACGCTAATTTTATATATATATATATATATATATACATGAACATGTGCATGCATGCGTGCGTACGCGCGCGCGCGCGCGCGTGTGTGGTGTGTGTGTGTGTGTGTGTGTGTGTGTGTGTTAAAATATTAACAATTTATCTGTATTATTTGTTTTTGGCTGTAATTTGTATACAAATGTACAAATTTGTATATTAAAACTTATGTACATTAAATATTTCATTAATTTGTTCGATATTAATACTTAATTGGTTTAATAATTGATAAAAGTTATTTTTTAAACACCAAGCAAATTTATACTGTACAAATTCATTTAGAAATAAATATAAATTACTGCTGAAAACATGACACAGAGAATGTTAAATTAATTTTTTAGCATTTTCCAATATAAAAAAATGGTTGTTTTTAAGAAGAAAGAAAGATATATGCTCCAATTGAATAGTGGAAATAGATTATACACATAGCAATTAGATTGCAGCCCACTCCAACATTGTACCATTAAGTAAGTTAAGAAAACAGTGGGATGCATGCAGGAATTTTATTGATAATAAACTATACTTAAGAGCATAATTAAGTGCGCATAATTAATGCAGAATCATATCGCAAACATAAAATTACAAAATTAGAATTATAATTGTTACTAACAGGACATTATAAAATCAAAATATTTGACATTACGAAGACTAATGAAATCTTCTTTCTAAGTTGATGTAGAATGCTATGTAACTTTGTGTTTGGATTATAGGTACAATATGGATTGGAGTGAATTGAATTAATATATAGGACATGATTGGCTAATCTGAACTAAAGAAATTACAAGTGATGTAAAGTGATTGTTTTATAGAAGATTGTAGATAAAACTATAAAGTATATTACAGAGAAAGAGAGAGAGAGAGAGAGAGAGAGAGAGAGAGAGAGAGAGAGAGAGAGAACTGTACAGTATATAAAATAAATTGAAAACCAGTGTAGAAAAAATGAAACTATTATTTGTACAAATACGATTCGTCTTGATTACTCAAGTACAAATGATAAAATGCTCCTTAGTCGTTTTGTAATATAAATACTGTATCTAAACTATATATGATATATAATCACAATATTGCTTCCTATGGCTGTGATTACTGAGTCATTTGATGTTGACTTTAAGAGGGAGTAATATCATGTAAAACTCATATTTCACGCCATATTTATTTATTGTTACAATTTTTTAACACCTTACATCGTTGCTAAATGAATTATTGTTGGAGATAAGAAAGCACAGTATTCATACGTAAAGATATATGTAAAAGAAGAACGAAATCTAAATTTGAAAATAACTTTACAAAATGTTCATTTAAGTTATCAAAAATTTTCTTTGGAGATTTGCAACTAATCTTTCGTTTGAAATATGTGTGTAAGTATGCGCCTATTACACGCGTACACATATTTTATATAGTTTAAGCGTGTAATTGTCAGATTATAATGTATCTTATTAAATTTATCAGGACATTCAATTCATTGTTTATACTTTTGTTGTAATCTATTAATCTTTGTATTAAACATATTTTAGATGTTTTTATTTGAACCTTAAATAAATGTTTATTTCTCAAGTTACAGAATACTATAATACTTCACCAATTTCTTTTTAAAAATTTATTTATACGAATTACCCATAATAGCCACATATTAGTATACGATCGACTTAATATTTTCTACGGTTTTTCTTTATGAGTAAGTGCTTATTTTTTGAAAAAAAAAAAAAACAAAATGTATATAGTCAATATATATGCTCCCACTGCTATTGATGAATGCTATGAAGAAATATAAATAATGTAGAGTATATAATAAGTACATATTGAGTTTGTGTAACACAGTGAAACGCGTTATACATAATAATGATGTAAATAAATCATTCTACAAAGTATTATGGTGTACCTTCATGTTTAATTCGTTTATCTCTCGATTTCTTACAAGTGTATGAAGAAAGGAAAAAACATTTGAGAACAGTTATATTTTGAAATCTTACTTCAGAGTTATTTTCTTTAAAATACTTTTTGATGGACATGTAAATCATTTATAATAAGCATCTATTTTATTTAAATTAAAAAATTGAAATATGGCAAAAGTTGCTAGTGATGTGTGCGATGCTCGTTGTCAATTATTTCACAGTGAAATGATAAGAAAGGAAAATGCAATACGGATGAAATGGTTTTTAAAGAATCAACAACGATTAATAGATCAGCTAAGAGAGCCGAAATTTATAAAACGTGCCAAAGAAATAATTACAGAGCCTAAAAAACGAGAAGCAGCACGAGTAGATAAACCTATCATATGTAATTACAGTTTGCTGATTTATAATGCTCATCTCTTTAAAATTTTATACATATGTAGATACAACGCAAGCCCTTACCCACATGGAGGCCACCTAAATCCAACGGTTCTATCAATATAGATATTATGAAACCGATTGATCCCGATGTAAGAGCCATACTTTATGAGAAAGGAATTCCAACTTTTATTACTAGTCATAACTATCTAACTAAAAGGTATCTACAAGTCAAATACGCGCACAATCCTTGAAAAGGATTAATTAATTAATTTAAAATGCTTTTTGGAATTTTTTAGATTTAAAGAACCTCCGGAGAAGCGTTTCTATTTTCCTGATTGTACAAATTGGATATATGGTTGGCGTCTTGATGATTATCCTTCTGTTCCACTTAGTGAAGTAAGACTAAGATCTATTATGTTAGCACAATTTTATCAGCGTAAGGCATTCAATTTGGAACAAGATCCAGAATGGTTTCGTGGTTGTCAAATGAAGAATGCAAAGAATTTTAATGAACGTTGACATATTAATTATTAACTAATTTATACACTTATACGCTTATACAGAGAATTATAAATATATCTATGTATATTGCTGTAGTACCATCATTGATATATTTTAATATTTTAATATTATAATTTTCTGTGATGTTTATTACATTTTGTGATAATTGCCATTTTTGTAATAAAACAAATGTGCGATCAGTCGACAATTATTCATTCCGTTTAAATATCCATGATTTTATAATTTATGCCATAAAAAACGAACGCGATACAATATCTCTTTAAAAAAATTTTATCCTTAAAATTAGAACATTGATATTTGTAACAAAATATGAGTGTTTATTTGTTAAGAAAATTCCATACTTATAAAGATAATTAAAGAAATCCATAATATAGTTAATAAGTATTATTTATTCTTTTATAAATAACATACATTAATATTCTAAGTTATTATTTTGAATTATAATATAAGTATTAATGAAAAATCAGGTTTAGTTCTCAACATCGAGAAATACGACAGTTTTCCAGCAATTGTCAATTATTGATTAGCGTTTCTCTGCTTCATATCTTTTCCAGCTTTCACAAGTTTTTCTAATAATATCTCGGGTTTATACTTTGCATACCACTTTATTATCTTCTTCAACATTTCTTTTTGCGTTTCGTTACATTTCTCACAGTTAGTTAGGACAGCTTCGCCGAACATTTCTGAAATTAAAAAAAATTATTTTTTGTTTATTCTTTAATTCAAGATAATCAATTTTACTTTTCTTAGCAAATGTATCAAATCTCAATACCTAAATATCCTTTAATATTAAGAGTTCATCTTCGATATTACGATCACAATTGATTTTATAAAATTACAATAGATTTTTATAAAATTATTATCATTCAGTATAATACCGATTTTTGTTCAATTAATATGTCCATGCTGATATATCGAGATAATTATTAATAGAAAAATGAAAAAAACTCTTTAAGGGAATTATTTTGATATCATTTTTAGAATATTTAAACTGTACTCGAAAAATTTGACTACTCCCTCCCCCCCTCTTATGAAAATGAAAATCAGAGCGTAAATCGGATAGTGATGAAGAATAACAGAAACGTGAATGAAATTTCTAGAAGGCGAAAATTAAAACAATGAAATGTCAAAGAAGCATTTACACTTCTTTTATATTTTGATGTTTTAATTTTCATCTTCTAGAAGTTTTGTTTACGCTATTGTTACTCTCCCGTTACATCAGATTTACACTCCGATTTTGATTTTCATAAGGACCTTTTTTCCACAAAATTTCGTCAGAGATAAGCATTTGTGGTGTGGGAACCACACCAAATCATCTCAATAATCAAGAGCTTATTAACTTTTCGTCTAACTTTAATTAGGTTCCGAGATATCAACATAGACATATTAAATCGAATATCTTATACATATTTACAATTAAGCGATAGATCAAAATTCTGTTAAAGTCTGAAAATAACTTGCAAATCTTATTGAATCGGGGAAAAAGTTTCTTCATATTTTTTAATTCAAAATTGTTTATATAATATCTTCGTCAAAAATGATCGAAATTTAAATTAAAAAAAAAAAGGATTTTATAAAAATCTCTACTTTCGAAAGGTTACTATATTTTATGAGTTTGATAATTTTTACATTTAAAAAACTATAAGCTGAAAAAGATGAAAAATTTTCTTTTCACTTTGAGAGTCTCTTATGAGCCCAAAAAAATGTTACGAAAAGTTTCGACTACGTATCTTGAAATCTTGAAGCTGTACTTACAAAATTTTTTGAAAATATTTCTATGATTTTATGTTCCTTTTTCAAATTAAGTAAAGGAGTATTCTGACTTCGATTGCTCTGATAAAAATCATCGCAATTTAAAAAATAGATTCTTAAAACTGAAACTTTGCTCTTTCTAGAATGATATAATTGTAATGAAAATTTCGCAATAATACTTTTGCAAAAAAATTTTTTTAAATATGAAGAAATTTTTTCCACGATCTAATATTTTAACATTTGTTTTTCCTTTTTGAGTTTAGTACGCCAAATTCTTTTTTATATTGTAGATTGTTTGAAAACTAGATACCTAGACATTAAAGAAAAATCGATTTTGTCAAATTATATCAAAAAGATTATATCAAAAAGAAATTTTCTCTCGCAAAAGAAAAAAGAATAATTCTATACAATACATACTATACAGTACATACTGTATAGTAGTGTCATACACATAGATACCTGTTACTTTCTTCTGTGCTATTGTGTTACACAGTCCTGTATTCATGTAGCATTTGTGATATTCATCTCGTAGAGTATCGTTACGGAGAATAGCGTCAACATCAGTTACACTATCGAATTCATCGGTATAGCGCTCCACTGCAAGAACATACAGCAGTACGTTCATAGCAATGATTAATGCGATACGGCTTAACTGAGACATTGTTTCCACAGTGATGTGGAACTAACTTGATGTACTAACTTGATATACTAAATTATCAATGAAGTTATTTCATTTTATACAAATCTTACTTAATAAAAAAAACCACGTGATATATGTACAGATGCAAAATGTTTACAGAAGATCAATAAGAAATAAAAAGCCTTTGAGAGCCGATACTAAATGTTATTGCAATTACGTTTTATTGTATATAATGGAAATAGACGTTTCAATCCTTTTAATTTGAATACTTTTCAGTAAATACATTAATGATAAGACTAAAATATATACATTAATTAAATATAAAATTAAGTATTAGATTGTTTGAATTTACATATTTGTTCGTCGTAATTTGAACTGTGAATAATATGTATTTGAATAAGTCACATTCGCATCCATATGTCAATGTCCATTAAATTAATAAGTTTACTAAATAATCATTGATTCATTAATGTAAAATTTAATAAATAAGATTAAAATTAAAATTAAATATAATTACTTAAAATTTGCATGGCTATTTGAGTGTTGACATATTATGCGATGTTGATAACTCGTTTGTCACGGATCTCATGAGAACATTTGTCACAATAACACAACTAGACCTTGAATAGAAGTATAAAAAAGGGAGAAACATCAATTTTTGGAATTAAAGTAGAATTTCTATAATATACAGAAGATTTAGCAATTACGATTAAATGCTGTTAAAAGTATACAATTCTATGTACAAATTTTTTTAAATACATTACTTAATTTCTTACGTACTATATTTAATGATACTTGTAACGATAAATAATAATTTGGAGTTAATTTTTTTAAGTGAAAATTAACTTGATTCAATAATTTTTTAATTATAGCAACTTAAAAAGATTTTCATAATCTAAATTTTCAGAGCTACATAAATAGAGATTACATCACATTTCAAATAATTTTATTTATATATATTATATATTACGACGAGAAATTTTAATTTCAATTTTTATTATAAAGATATGTAATATTAAAGATTTAAAAGTCATAATAATTAAACACAAAAATTTCTTTGACACTTATTTAAACAATATCAACTTCAATTTGATTATTATTATAATTAAATATGATTAATAAACGATTATTAGATGTACATTGTGTATTTTTTGAAAACATATACTGATAGAAGCATACATAAGGCAGAGAAGTTCTATTCTCATAAATCATTTATTAATACGTGAGATAATTTTTTAGGACTAATTGCATAGGCAATTGCGTAGATAGTTGCGCGTATAATATTTTATATTTTCAGAATCTGCAGAATTACTACATTATAAAATGCATTCTGATTTCTAAATATATTCATAGAGTTTGTATTCTGATTTCTAAATATATTCATAGAATTTGTATTAAAGGCTTAATAATCTTAAATTGCGAAATTGAAGTATTAAACAAATTTTATTTATGTGCAGTGTTACAATTACCTGCCTCAAGCGCAACTGTACATAAACATTAAAAAATGTTTTTATAAAATTATTTAATTTTTTTCTATTGATTTTTGAAACAATGAGAATAATATTTTAGAAGCCATATAATTATATAATTTATTATATTGATTGCTGAAAAGTTTCAAAAATTGGTATTATATGTTTGCCATTCATGCTATTGGAGACTCATATACCAAAGCGGTTAAATAATTCCGTCTGCGTGTAATTTATATTAACACCAATTATCTAATTAATACCAATAATGTAAAAAAATAATGAATATACATAAAACAGATGTACAGTTCTATTATTCAAAAAGTCTTGAACATTGCGCTTCTCAATCAGGAATTTCAAATTGAATTCTTGTTTTCAATTTGAACTTTCCTTGTTGATTTCCCATAAAATATTTGTCAATAAATAGAAGTACAAATGGTATTTTAATAATTTATGAGGATCAATGATCCACTTCTTATCAATTAGGACTTTAAACTTGTGCTTAAATCTTGACAACAGGCAAATTGCTGTGCCGTCGCTTTATTTTTTGGGCTGAACATGTGCGGAACCCAACGACCAGCCTTTTGTATTCTTCCCAGCTTCTCATCGAGAAATCGTTTGTTGAATGACACCTAGTTGTTCAGCAAGCTCCTTTAGTGTTTGATAAGGATTTTCCTAGCGGATCCATTTCCCCGTTTTCAATTTTTTCTGATGCTCCCGAACGATATTGATTCGAAAGATTCGAAATTATCCGTCCAAAACTTTTTGTACCACCTTTTCTATGTACTTTGAAACATCATATTTTATCCTAAAGTGGAACAAATCATTTCTTTCGCTTCAAGAACACTTTTTTTTAATTAAAAAGAGAATAAAATATAATGCCTCACGTGATTGTTGGACATCGTGTTCACTTTTAAGGTTTGTTAGATTATGTCGTCTAGCAAGATTTCCGTATGTAGGTTTTTTTAATCATAAATTTGTACTACGAATCCCCAAAGCAGCGAGAAAAAGATTTGAATTTATAATAAAGTTACAATTGATTAATTCGGAGAGGTCAGAACTTATTTGTAGATCTAATATATGTATTTTTT